GCCTAGCGTCTGTGTCGTCTCGGTGCTCCCTGAGACACCTCATCCTGCAGCGTGCTCTCCACCTACCAAAGGGGGGTCGAAGGTCACTCTGACCCTGCACCGTTACAGGCTGACTCAGTTCTTTCTGGCTGCACTCACGTGCCAACCTAGAGCCTTCTAGTCCATCTCAGTGCAGGGCCCTGGACAGGCCGCTTCCGCACCAGTCTCCGGTCTTCATGGATCAGGATTCCAGTGTGTGAACAAAACCTACCGGTGTGGGACCCAGACCGACGCCACCCAGTACGGTTCATGCTGACCCAGATGCGAAAGCACCGTTAGGCGCCATTAGGCTAGATTTTTGCTAAACTTTCTTACCTATGAACCTATGATCAGGATTTATCACAGATTCCTCCAAGAACATTTTCACAAGCTACACTGTAAACATTTTGACGGGATTTATTAAAATACTTTTTTCTTTAGATGCTATTTGGATGTCAACCCTACAGCAAATGATTAAATGAAGCTGTGGAAATCTTGACAAAGGAGGCAACAAACTTCTCATCCTCTCTGTTAGCTGCAGGCATGTTTTTATAGATGAGACCATTAAATAGACAAAGTCAAGAGAGAAGCAAAAGGGACTCACGCTCAGTCTGTCTTCTTGAGAGAACAAGTCTTGAGGCAAAACAGGGAGAACCTCCTACACAAACAGTCATCTGCAGTCTTCACAGAATGTCAGTCCATTCAAACTGAAGTGTTTAATCACCACTGTGTTAAAGACTTTCATCTGTCTACGTTATGAGGTGTCCTGCTGTTAGGTGTAAAACACCGACAGCTTGGCATCATATGCTGTATTCTGAAACTTTTGGCTGAAGCTGCTGAAGCTGAATGAATTTGAAGATTAAGAAGCAAAATTCACTAATAATTTTAGAGGGAAGTGGAATTTAAAAGTACAAAGAGTAAGAACAACATTGAAAAGGATGGCTATTTCAATAGCGGGCGTTAAATTCTGGAATGAGCTGACAGAAGAAATAAAGGTCAGTAGTGATATAAACCAGTCTAAAATAAAACTCAAAAAAGAAATTTTAAATAAGTATAAGAATGAAGAAAATGCAATTAACCCAGGACGGCATGTTTAATCTCTCCTACAAATTAGCAAATATAAATATAGTTCTAGTTGAACATGTGAATTATTATCATAATTTTTTTTGAAGGCATTGTAAATGTTTTTGTTGTTCAAATTTAGATGATGAGGATGTAATCCCGAGGGGGTAGGGCTAAATAAGTATATACTTCTCCCTACTCCTTTTCAAACAACTGCATGGAATGATTTTATGAAATGTTGGTGAATGTATATGTTTGAAATAAAATGAACTGAACTGAACTGTCTAAACAGCTGGTGCTTGAATAGGACTAGATACTAATATCTTCACAATTAGTTGAACTGTGACTTTGGCAGCATATGTTTATGTTTAACAACATTCAGACAATAAAGGTGCTTGTGGGACGTTTAAGAGTGAGAGTGATGGGTGAGTGATGGATGAGTAAAGGATGAATGAGTGAGTGAGTCGTTATGGTCATGGTTTTCTGTAAAATTCATTCATTTGTTCATTCAATCATTCCTTCCTTCCAGCTGGAACTGAAAATCCTCATGTTTGGGGCTGGTTGGTGTCTGATTCATTAGCTATACAAAAATGTAAAAGATGTCGAGCAGTGGGATGCCTTGTGACTGCTGAATATCTGAAAAACATTTTGATACCAAATTTACTGCAATAACTGAAGAACTACGGAAGTAGTTAAGCACTGAAAAATGTAGGAAATCTGCTGAACAGCATTCAAACAATAAACCTGCTTGTGGGACATCTGAGAGTGAGTGAGTGAGTGAGTGAGTGAGTGAGTGAGTGAGTGAGTGAGTTCAAGTTCATTTTATTTATAAAGCCCCTTCCCACCCCCAATCAAGGGGGCCCAAGGTGCTGAACATAGTGCAAGAAGCAGCACAATGAAACAGCTCTATAATAAAATACAGAGATAGAAACACTTAAAAACAAAAAAGAGCTGAAAACATAAGAATAGGGATCAAAAACAATTGAAATGTGAATAGACACAACTAAGCAACAGATCTAAGCTTGCTTTAAAAGTGGGTAGCGATGTGGACTACTTGATTTCTTGTGGGAGTTGGTTCCAAAGCCGAGGACACGGAGCTGCAATGGCACAATCACCCCTAGACTTACACTTTGATCGCGGTACCACCAAAAGGTCACTCTGACCTGAACGTAGCGATCTTGCAGGGACATAACGGGTCAGCAGGGAGGCTAAACATGGTGGGGCTGATCCAGACAGGTTTTGAAAAACAAGGACCAGGACTTTGAACAAGATGCAACTCTTCACCGGTAACCAGTCCAAAGCTGTCAGGAGGGGAGTGACATGCTCCCACTTACATGCTCCATACAGAAATCTGGCAACAGCATTTTGGACCAGCTGGAGCCGAGTCATTAAGGACTGGCTCAAGCCAGCATGGAGGGAGTTGCAGTACTCTAGCCTAGAGATGATAAAAGCATTGGCTACAGTTTTCAACTCCTGTTTTGTTAAGATCGATTTAATATTAGACAAGCGCCTTAACCAATTAAAACACTAACGAACAACAGACTTCACCTGACTATCAAATCGTAGACCAGAGTCTATCTTGACACCCGAGTCTGCAATCATGGACTTCTCATAGAGGAGCAACAATGGAAGGTCCAATCCATAGGGCTGGTGGTCATTTGGAGTAAAAACTATTATTTCAGTTTTTCCCTCATTTAAGAAGAACTAAGAGAACGGAGCACATCACTCCTGTTCTTAGATCCCTACACTGGTTACCAGTAAACCACAAAGTGGTAAATTTCAAAGTGCTCGAACTAGTTTATAATCACTCAATGGCATGGGGCCAAAACACATGACAGATCTCATTCCTGTATACACACCCAATAGGGCTCTGAGATCCTTGGGTAACAATCAGCTGGTGGAACCTTGGGTCAGAACCAAACATGGTGAAGATGCTTTTAGCTGTTCTGCTGCTCACATAAGGAATCAGCTCCACCTGGACCTCAGATGTGCCCCAACTCTAGTGTTGTTGAAATCAAAACTTAAAACCCTAATGTACTCATCAGCCTTTCAATGAATTGTTTCTGATGCTGCATCGTCTCCACTGTAATCTGTGATGTAATTGCTCAACCTTAATTCTGTCTTTTCCTTTTAGCTCTAAATTATAATTTTATCTGTGTATATTTTTAATTTGCGTTCTCGTCTTTGTTGTTGGGCCATTTAATGCTAACTGTAAAGCACATTGAATTGCCCATATTTGAAATGTGCTATATCAATAAAGCTGCCTTGCCTTGCCTGTCTAAAAGTTCGTAATTAGCATGACTACTAATCAGACATCGACACGTTGCATATATGATCGCCAAATAATCTCTTCTCCCCTAGCGTAGCTGCTACTTACCAAATGGCCATATCTACGGTGGTTCTTTCCTTCAGAAGGTAGTATTTCAAGTTTGCTGAACTTACAGCCATTTTCCTTCTGTGTTTCTTCGTGTTTGGTTCAATGAGGTCTTTTCTGTGAAGTGCATTTGTAGTTCTGGACTTATTTTCACACAAAACCTAAAATATTAATTCCCCCCATTTGAAAATAAGCTCTATCTGTCAGGGTGCACTGGTGAGTGGAGCGGAGGTGAGGATCCACATGCAGGGGAGAAAGCAAGCAGGCAGACAAACTGGACAACTGAAAGGGTTTTAATGATTCACGCACGCAGGACATGGAAACAATGAAGCAACAAGAGACAAAGGACTGGATGGGTTTAAATACAGGAGGGCTGGGAGCTTGGGTGATTGGGAAACAAGAGGCAGGTGGGAGCAATCAACAGGAACACAGGCTGAACCAAATGGAGAGACAGGACAGGGTGTGACACTATCTTGGTATCAAAATGTGTCTTTAAAATTCACGAACATCATATGTGAAATCCATGGCACATAACAAGCAGAATTAGAAAATAGAATTTTTAGCCCAATTGACCTACATTCTTTTTTTTTAATTTTTGTTCTTCCAGGGACCCATGGTTCGGAAGTAGATGGGCATGACAGGCTCCCTATATACAGTCCTATGATGATGTGACAGCTACCTCACAGGTCTGGCATCTCTGGCAGGCCTGGAAGTTCTGACAAATGCATTTTTATGAAGAGATGCTGACACTAAAATATTCATGTTGTCACTGAGATACAGTGAGGAATATACAACATCGTATGATTTTGCAAGTTCTCCCACTTAGAAATCATTGAGGGGTCTGAAATTCACATTTCCATTTACCACTGTTTGAGACAGGGTTTAAAATCTTCAGGAAATCGCATTGAATCATTTAAAATAATTTATTTGTATCATATTTGCTATATCAGCTTTAAGCTTTTTTGAAGAATTTATTCAATCATTTCTGGGTGGATATGACAATAAACCCAAAATAAGATGCGTTATTTTTTTAAAAAACTGTTTTTAATGATACTAATTTATTCACAACATTTTAAAAGAACATTGCATAATTTTATGATAGCCAAAACAGATTATAATGTCCTAAATTTGCTATGGCTACTTTGGAAGCCTTATTTTCAGATATTTGGTTTGTCTAAAGATTTCAAATGGAAAATAGCATTTTAAACCTTTTCATTTATTCTCTTCTGTTTGGTCTCAAATATAGGCTTAAAAAGTTAGAATGTACAGTTTCTATTACATAAAAATTCTCATTTTTTCTGTTTTACAGGTCATTAGTATCTATTACTTTGCTGCAACATGAAAGTACCTGTCGCAGCAGCAGGAAAAAAGATGACATATTCTATTCTATTCTATTCTATTCTATTCTATTCTATTCTTAGCAAATTTGGTATGGGGGGTTGGTAAACTCAAAGCAAAACATCTGTCACGTGTGAATGGAGCGGAAGTTTACTCATCCGCTCAAAAAGCTTTAACTTTCAATGTCAAATGGGCCAATCAAATGCCGGCTTTCAGCTCGCACATGCGCAGATTTCTCATACGACTTGTTAACGTCAGACATCAGAAACAGCAGAAGCTGGAGCAGCCGTGGAGACTGTTTGGGAAGTGTTTAGCTCGCCTTTCTCCGCCGTAAGTTCATTAAATAATTATCTAAACTTATATAGTGGTTGCGACAGAGAAAATAACTTATATTTGGTGTTGATTGAAACTTAACCAGCGGCTTTGTGGCTAAATGCTAACAGGCTAAGCTGTACATAACAAACCAGACGTTAGCTTCCACAGCCGCGTGATTTATCGCCTGATTTCCTCTTCTGGTTTTCCCGTTTCTCCTTCGGGTAGCTCTTGTTTACACACAGACAGACAGTCGTTGTAATATGCTTTCAATAAACTAAAGTTTTCTTCATTCTGACATGAATGTGCGACAAAACACCCGGTTGTCCGCTGTTCTTTTTACTGGCCAAACAGAAAGAAGGTCATTGCTTTGGGTTTCTTTTTCTTCAGATATTTTGGAGAAGAAGTCCACTATGGCTGCTGCTGCTGCGGTAGCTTCCTCTGTCAGAGGCAGCCTGAGGGAGGACTTGACCTGTGCCATTTGCTGTGACCTGTTCAGAGACCCTGTCATGTTGTCCTGCATGCACCACTTCTGCAAGTCCTGCATCTCCAGGTACTGGAGGGGAACCCAGGGGCCTGTAACATGCCCACAGTGTCGCAAGGAGTTCACTTCCAAACAGTTTCACACCAACTATATTGTGACAGCCATGGTGGAGAAGGTCCGAGTCGCCACCTCAGACGCTAGCATCAAGAAACTAGAGGTGCGTTTTCACTTTCTCCTCCTCTGTATGTTTTCTTATCTCTTATTAATGCATCAGTCAAGTGTTATATCATAAACAAACAACAGTGTGGTCCAAAGTGAACCAATCAATTACTGATGAGCAGCTTTTTACATGTGAGCTGTAAAAGCTCAGAGCAATTGTTACAGTCCACATCAGTCCTTCTGTCACTACAGCGCCACCCTTAACACGCCTTGTTGGACTTGTTCATGCTAAAGTTTACTCTCCGCTCCCTTTTGCAGCGTGACAGGATGTCTCTATGCCACCTCGGCAAGAGGATCGGTCACATGACCACACCAGATTGTTTTAACAGTTCGGTAAACATTTCTGAGAAAAAATGCCCCCTGTAGGTTCAGCCTTTAAAGCTGCTATAGCAAATGAAAAAATGTCATAACTCTTGCCAACATTCTAACACAGTATAGAGATAAATATATTATGGAGAAAAAAACAAAACAGAAAAAAATGTATAAAGCCGTTCTTTCGCATTTGTCTATAAACCTCCATCAATAACACGTTTTGGACCAGAAGCACAGATCATCTCGTCCAACTGTTGCATTTCCCTGGGTCCTCCATTCATTACACATTTCTGTATAGCAACAGAACACCACTGGTGTGAGAGGTTCTCCGCTCAATAACATCAGAGAAGGAGAAACAGCCGGCTGCTACCACTTTTACTTTAGGACACATTACCAGAGTCCCAAAAAGACAAACACCATCTGAAGTCACAGGCAGCAAAAGACGTTTGAGCCTAAAACATGGTGACTGGTGTTTAGCTCTGTCTCGTTTCCTGTGGCAATGTGAGTCTCTGGTTCTTGCAGAAGCGTCTCAGGGAAGATACCCGAGGGGAGGGGTGAGTTCTGTGAACGAGTTTGAAACCTAGCTTGTTTGCAGATTCGCCATAACAGCTTCAACAGAGAGTTGTTTGTCTTTATGTGAGTAGTTCACTAACCGGCCCCTTCCCAGAGCTGATAAGAGCATTGGTCCCTCCAGTAAATATTAACCTCACTGGCAGCAACAAAGATTCGGTGTTTCATGAAACTGAGCAGTTCAAAGCAGAAGCTTTTTGTTTGTGGCTCTTTGGGAATTCTTGGAGGAAGTTTATAAAGAATCAGCTCATGCAGGTATTTCAGCACCAGCTTACAAGGGCTGAACTCACACATAGCTAAATGTTTAAGTGTACGTGTTTCTTTTTGGTCTGTTTTTCTGGTCCCACTGCATGACTTTTTTAAATAGATCCTCTCCTTGTTGAACGCTTCGTATTCCCACTCACTGATTTCGTCTGCTCATTGCTTCACAGAAACAGCTGAGCGAGGCTTTGGAGAGGCACCACTTAAGGAAGGAGTACATCGACAACTGCATCCACAAAGACAAAGAAAAGATGGATATCATAAAGGTACACACACCTGGTGATTCAAAACAGCCGAATAAATAAACTCCACTCTTCATGTTCAGAGGTGTTTGTGCCCTGGTTGCTATTATCCTCCTTTCTTGTTTGTCTGCTGTGAATAAATGAGCATTACAACTATAAAATCCTGCCAGAGTGCGTCAGCAGCAAACCCAGGACACACAAGCAGCCTTTGAGGTTAATGGAGTGTGTTCTGTAGTTTTATAAGACATTTTAATTCATTGTTTTTATACCTGAACAAAAATAATATTGGATAGAGTATCTTCTAGAGTCCTAGAACCCCTCAAGGCGATTTACAACACAATCACTTATTCACCCATTCACACCCTGCTGGTGATCATCTATAACAGGGGTGTTCAGTTCTGGGCCTGGAGGGCCGGCATCCAGCACATTTTAGTTTTGACCCTGCTTCAGCACACCTGCTTTCAATCAGCAGGTGATTAACAGACTTCTGCAGAGCCTGATGAGCTGCTACATAGGTGATTATACCACTGAATCTAGTGTGTTGGAGCAGAGAAACCACTGGATACTGGCCCTCCAGGACCAGGATTGAATACCCCAGATCTACAAAGTAGCCACAGCTGCCCCGGGGCGCACTGACAGAAGAGAGGCTTTCAAACCGACCACCACAAGCAGGCAGTCTGGGTTAAGTGTGTTGTCCAAGGACACGACGACAGACTGAGCAGGAGTGGATTCTCTAGCCTTCTGATTATGGGGTGGATAAACTGACCCTCACATCAAAATAACTGAGATTAGGAGATTAGAACAGGTGCTCTGAGACATCTGGAGTGGACAACGGTGCTGTCTCTCATCTAGGGCTGCAACAAATGACCATTTAGTCGACTAATCAATTGTTTTAGTCGGACCAAGCTTCTAGTGCCAGCATGCAGCTACTCTAATATAACTACCATTAGCTTATTTTTCCAAGTGTAACCTGAAAAGTAAAGACAACGATAGCTCATTTAACAACTTTTAATAAGCTTTGCAACTTGTATAAAATAAGGAAAAATAATGAATGCTGGTTGTTGCTTGGCATCAAGGTTGTTTACTGAACAGTGATTGTTTTTATAACAGATAAATTATTAGTCTGCAACATTACAGCAAACACATGACATGTGTTAAGTGTGATCAGATCACTATTGTGAATGTTACAGCTATCAATACGAGTAGCTCGCTGTTGATGCTAGCAGCTAATTAACAATAATTAGCCTAAAGAGCTAACTCTCTCCACAACGGGCTTCCTTTTAGGATGCTTGTGAATCAGTGCTGCCATGAAAGGCCAGTTCTACCGTGCAGTTTTTGCTCAAGCGTTGCTTGAACTTTTGTAAAATGCTCCAAAATTTTGAGCTCTGTTGCTGGCTCGCCGTTGTTTAGGCTTTTCTGGTGACACCACAGCTGACACCGAGTGCCTCTACTGTGCTGTCAAGGACAGAAAGGCAGCAGAAGGTACGTCGGCAGTTTGAAATGAACAAAACTTCAAAAATTAACAGTGATGTTGATTATTTCAGTTGTCGTAGATTATTTTGGTAGCCATCTTAGTCGTGACTAATGGAGTGATGTTGGCAGCACTTGTCTCATCGAAGGCAGGCAGGTCTGATTTTTTTAACTTTGGTTCACAAAACTGGGCCATGATGGTTGGAAAGTCCTGGACCATTTATTACAAACAAGCCATTCATATATTCCTACAATATTGTGCAGGTAGGTCCAGGTTCCCTAGGCTAGAAAGAAAAAGGCTTTTGTAGCAACTACTTTGTAGCCATTTAACAAATCCATCTTTAAACTTTCAAACATGCATCATTTTTTCACATTCTGGCAGCAGAACATCGTTCTGTTCATCTGTCAGTTTCCATAACAGTAATGAGACTCAGTTGGCCATAGGGTTGTCACGGTAACCGGTGTAGCGGTAAACCTCGGTGAAAAAAAGTTGACAATAATAATAACCGTCTTGTTTTAAAAAAAAACTATATTATCTCGGTGGATTACCGTGGCTGCTGTGTAGGCGCGGTGACCCTTACCAGCCACCGTATCATCTGCTGAAGTTGCCGGCGCCACATGAGCACTTTGTTGTTTACAACCAAAACTTTCTTGAAGCTAAAGCTGAAATAATGGCCAAAGGAGGAGACGGCAGTGCTCAGGAGGACATTTTTTATCCCTCAAAGAAGACAAAGTCGAAAGTACGTGCATCTTTTGGATATTTGAAGAATGCCGAGGGACAGTTGATAGAAGGCGGCTATCCTGATTGCAGCACGTGCAGAAAAAAGTGTCTGTGAAAGGCAGCAACGCTTCAAATCTCATGACACATCTACGTGACCATCACCCACAACTCTACAGTCAACGCAAGGCAAGCTAACGTTAGCATTTTAGCAAAAATGCGTGATCCGAGGATTTGGGTTGAGGCAGAATGCAACGAGTCGCTATATAAAGCAGCCGCAGCGCCGCTACCTGCATACAAACCGTGTCACGGACACCGCCATGTTGAAATGACGCTATGCATTAAGGGGCTCCCAGGGGCAGATAAGAGTTGGTCTCTCTCTGAGAATATTTATGAATTTAACATTGATTACTGCCTGATGACATTTTCCCAAATCTGCAAAGCTCACTGGAAGGACACAAACCGAGGACAATGTTTTCCTGATATAGAGCTCCGGACCTCACGTGACTCTGTTAGTAGACGCCATATTGGCAGGTAAAAGAAGCTAAACAAACACGGATGTAACCATGAACGTGAACGGGATCGGCTTGGATTTTACTTTGCCGGAGTTTACTTCACACTTTAAAACCGAAGAAATCGTTTTATATAGTCAGAAATTAAATAGACTAAACATCTCCGACCCCTACCGTGTCCCTGGGATACTTTTTAAAAACGCCAGAAGCTGTCGGAGCGGACTTCTTACCGGACCTGGCCGGGGAACCCCTTGGGATTCCCCCGGAGGAAGAGGCGGCTGGGGAGAGGGAATTCTGGGCCTCTCGACGCTACTGCCCCCGTAACCCGACTCTGGATACGCGGATGAAAATGGATGGACAAATAACAGATTTGCACGTAAGTAGTTTAAATAGAGTGCTGTGCTGTTTGAATGTATAGACTGAACGCCAAGAGAAATCACTAGTTTGATTGTTTTCCGTGAATAAAATAAATATGTCAGGCAGGAGCATCTCAGGATCTGTCTGAGAGCTGTCTCGGTGAGACAGATAATAGCAATCCAAAGTGCTTTTTATGTGTGATCTGACAATTGATCAACCATTGCTTGAAAATTAAATACAGCTTAGCCGGTTAATTGCTGTGATCATAAAACACGTAAACGGCAGCACGCAGAACTCACGAGACAACGTTTTACGTGATGTTTACTTGTTGCTATGAGTAATAAGACAGAAAAAGCCACGCCAAAATAAGTTTAGGAAGCCCACTAAGAATCGTAATAAAAGCATTTAAAATAAACACCATACACAGTTGAGGAAACGTTGGTTTAAGTACCTGATATGAAGCGGTCGCTGCATAAGCGAAAACCTTTACTCTCGGGGTCCCACAGTTTCATTTTAGCCCGGTCACTAGCGCGTTTTATTACAATGATCCAACGTTTGCGGCGCTCCGGATCTTGGGGACTCCTGTAGATAGCTCATTCCTTATGTCGTCCGCGTCTGTTCTGCATCCTGGGGCACAACAGGAATCTACCATATTTCCCGTTTGATTGAGTTTTCTGACAATAACAAATAGTCCAGCTGCCGGCTTCTGCCTGCCAATATGGCGCCATTTTGATTTGAACTGTTGCATGCCGGGAGAAGTGACGTCAACTCCCGGAGCTCTATAGGAGTTATTACTCAAGTAAGGGTAAAAAAGTATCTGATTAGAAGGCTACTTGAGTACTGAGTATCATCTGGTCTAATATTTTTAAATGATGACATCAAACAGACAAAAAGTAAGAAGTTATGGGCAAAATTAGTATTTTAAAGACTAAAAAAGAAAAATGTAAACAAATAAACAACATAATTACAAAATAACACATTTTAGGCAAAATTTAGACACAAACTGAGGTCAATATTTCCTGATATGCAGGGTTTATTTAGCGGGCTGAAAATGTAAACGTTTAAAAAAAATATCGTGATAATACCGAAAACCGTGATAATTTTGGTCACAATAACCTTGAGGTTAGATTTTCACACCGTGACAACCCAACTTGGCCATAGTGACGTTAGCCTCTGGTACGACTGAACTGCTAATCAGTTTCTCCAAACAGAGGCTGTTCAGGTATCGCTGGTAGGATAGTAGTTATTTTAACATGGATGAAGTATAGCTAATCAGTGCGTGGTGAATTAGACACTTGATCAGCTGAATGTTTTGTTTACTTTTCAGTAGGGCTGCTCGATTATGGCAAAAATAATAATCACGATTATGGTGACTGAAATTGAGATCACGATTATTTAGGACGATTTTTCAATTTATGTTGATTTTATTTGTTTTTATTCAGTCATAAAACTGCTCAGGGCACAATCAGGACAAAAATAAGAAACAAGATGATCACTAAAAGAACTCCTGATTCCCAGGATAAAAGGACCAATATACTTATAGCTCATAGTCTATGACCCAAGGGCTATAGACCTTGGTTTAACTCATGTAAGTCTAACCAGTACAGACCCAAATACCAATATCTTGCAAATACTGACAGCAAGAATTATACAGTGGCATTTATAACAAATAAATGCAAATAAACTGATGTTCACAAAATGTTACATAACATTTATTGAGTCGTGTCAAGGTGCTGTAGCACTGTGTCCTCAGAGAGATTAGTTATCAGCGTGAGGAACTTATTTCTACCTTATTTATAAACTATTTATTTACAGGCCCATCAGTTAATGTAATAATTGTCCCGACCACAGCTGCACCCCCCACCCCCCCACCCCGGTCTCACACAATCGGGCAAGCTGCACGTGTGTTTAGCACGCCGCACGTGCACATTTAGCTGTTTTTAGCTGCTCAGGAGACCGCAGGTGCGGTGTGTGTGTCACTCACTCTGGTTAATCCAACAAGGAGCCGGCTCCGAGAGCCGTTTCTTTAGCGACCGACACATCACTGCATCATTCCATTTCCTAATGTTGTGAAGAACGGTCCGGAGCACAGGCGGAGTGTTTAGCTAACCTGCAGGAAATGTCGACGACAGTTATCCAGAAAGTAGCTAAGGGTTACCAGAGATGTTTCTGAGATGTTCGCTAGGTACTTTTAGGATTAAAAAGTCAAGAAGGGGGTCTGAAAAGCTGCTAGAAATAGCGTCAAAGTCGCTAAATTGGCAACACTGTGAGGAGCGCTTCATTTGCAACTTAGGGCAGCGCAAGCGGGAGGAGCAAATAATCGGCTTGTTATGTTTTTTATAATCGTTCAAAACTCAGATCGTAATCGTGATTAAAATTCGATTAATTGAGCAGCCCTACTTTTCAGTGTTTCCATTAACACACACACACCTGCTTTAACCAGAGGAGCAGGGTTGTGAGCTTAATAGGATTATCTGAAATCACACATGAGGAGACGGCTCTCAGATAAAACGAATATCCCAAATGCACAAGTGTTTCATGTCTCATTTCTGAGAAGGACCCAGGTGAGCTTTCAGTGTGTGTGTGTGTGTGTGTGTGTGTGTGTGTGTGTGTTCATCCAGTAGACTTGAGTGATTATGTGCAACGTTTCCTGTTTGTCACATCCATCGTTCCTCCTCCTCCCAGAGAGTTGCAGCAGATCTGCGGGATCGTGTCAAAGGTGAATTCAGAGCGCTCCATCAGATCCTGCAGGATGAGGAAACCTGCATGCTGGAGCAGCTACGGAGAGAGCAGGAGGAGGAGCTGCAGCAGGTGCAGCGTCACCTGGAGGCCTCGGAGCTGAGCGTACGCGAGCTAGAGAACAACATAAGACTGCTTCAGCAGGCGAACGGCTCTCTGACTGAGGTGGAGCAGTTTGTGCGTCACATTTACTATCAGAACTTTAAACAACATTCAGAAACATGTAGGTAATGATATTTTTCCTTTTCCAATAGTTCCCTCAGCTAAGGTAGGCATCTTTTAAACTTACATTTAATGATTGTGCTCTCTTCCGAGGTTACCCGTCTCTAATAGTGTTTTGAATCAGCAGGCCCTGTGTGCAGGTGGAAACCGACACGGACTTCGATGTGAATGCTTTCAGCAGCAGATACCTGGCTCCGCTACAGTACATCACATGGAGAAAGATGTTCCACTCTGTGAAGCCAGGTAATCTCTCCTGATCCGCTTCATTACATTCAAATAGATGCAAGCTGAAAACGGCTTCTGCTGCATTGCTGGGAGTAATTACAGAGACGTGACTGAACACACTCTAATTGCAGTTCATCTGGGACGGATTTTTATTACGGGAAACACTTGGGAGAGAACGTCTTTATTTCTCTTGCAGTATGTTCACTTGTGCTGCTGCTCTGAACAATGTTTGAGGAGGAAATAATAAATAGTGTTTAATTATCTTTTCCATCTTAAAGGCCCTTCTCCTTTGGTGTTTGATGTTGAAACGGCACACCCCAGCATTTACATCTCCAGGGATAAAACCGTGGCTGTAGAGTGTGACGATATGATCCTGCACACGAGCCACAGCCAGCGCTTCCTCCAGTGTGTCAACATCCTGGCTGTGCAGAGCTTCCAGTCAGGCCGGCACTACTGGGAGGTAGAGGTAGGCCACAGCCTAAAGTGGGACGTGGGCGTGGCCTCGGAGGCTGTGGACCGACGCGCCCGCATCAAGCTGAGCCCTGAAAGCGGCTACTGGACCCTGCGGCTGCGGAAAGGGAACGAGTACTGGGCCGGCACGCAGCCGTGGACCAGGCTGCAGGTTGGCTCGCCCCCTCAGAGGATCGGGGTGTACTTGGACTGCGATGAGAGGAGGGTGTCCTTCTACGACGCAGATGATATGAGGTTGCTGTACACATTCAGCAATGGACCAAGGGGCAGAGCGCTCCCCTTCTTCAGCCCGTGCATCAGCGACGACAGACACAGACCTCAGCCTATAAGACTCCTGCATTACCCTCCTGTTGCTCTGTCTGCCTAACGACCGCTCACCAGTCAGCAGTTACAGCGCAGCACTGACATGCCTGTGTTACGGGGTTTGGGCTGTTCTCGTGTTTCTGTGTTATGATCAACCTGAAGAATCCTGCTCAGTTTTGGGACCAATCAGCCAGATCAACACTTGAGAGCTTTATAAGAATATATATAAACACCTTTAATATATGTAGATGGTTGCTTTTAATTTTCAAATGGATAATCATCTCATCACGTATCCTTATTCGCACTTGACAAGATATTTTAGTCACTCTATTTAATCAGCTTGTAGGACCTGAGCACTTTACTGAAATGTTCTGATAGAATGGTTTCTCGTGTCTTCAGCATGAGGCTCAAAAGGACGGTTGGCTTCTGCTGTTCATGCATTCATGATGCGTGCCTAATTCTGAATGTGGCATGTTTTGTTCTTATTGCCTGTTGTGGTTGTGTATCTCTGCCACTCAGGTTTTGTAAACCCTGCTGAAGAAATAAAACATTTTTTCTTGAAAGATGGTCGTTTGAAACTCTTCTCCCACAGCAGCGACTTGGTGGAAGTTTGGACTCTGTCACTTGAAACAATCGTAGGTTTTGTTTAGCACCATCAAAGCAGGACTGTGGAAGACGGCCCAAAATCACTCATACGCACAGATGGGGCTTCTGGCTCTGCTGCACCTGGACGGGAATTTCTGAGCACGAGTTTTCTCGGACACAATCAGCAATAATAGGCGGTTATCTCCACAAACACGAGAGCACCAACGTCCTGTTTCCTCCTGCCAGGTGAAAGGTCAGACTAACAGAGTGACAGCGGGGTTCTCTCTGGGCTCGGACACGGCGAGCAGGATGCTCGCCTGGTTGAGTGGCAGCAGTTTATTCATGTTCAGGGTTTATTATTAGTTAGACTGGTGTAAGGTACAAGTGTAGGAAAACTAGTTCTAGTTGTTTTTAATTTAAAACAAATTAAACGGATCCAAAGATTCTAAATTAAACTTGCAAACTGTGTGTGTGAACCTACTTTCTACAGCAGTGGATAAACTGACTACAGTCAAGTAAAAATTTTGAAATGTAACAAAGTTGCTCATAATAAATACTGAAAATCTGGTACTTTATTGTCTCGATCATTTTATACTAAAAAGGATCCATCCATTTTCTGAACCCGCTTGTCCACGCAGGGTCGCGGGGGGCTGGTGCCTATCTCAAGCGGTCAATGGGCAATCAGGCGGGGTACATCCTGGACAGAGAGCCAGTCCATCGCAGGGCAACACAGAGACACACAGGACAAACAATCACACACACACTCACACCTAAGGACAATTTAGACAGACCAATCAACCTAACAGTCATGTTTTTGGACTGTGGGAGGAAGCCGGAGCACCCGGAGAGAACCAACGCATGCACAGGGAGAACATGCAAACTCCATGCAGAAAGATCCCAGGCTGGGAACATCGACATATATACTGGGAAGCGAACCCAGGAACTTCTTGCTACAGGACAACAGCTCTAACCACTAAAAAGGATCCATTTACATTAAATCTTATTCAGTCACTGATCCACTCTGATAAGGTGTTACTTGAGTACATCATGTGAGTGACTCCGCTGTAACTATACAAACCAGTGGGGGCTATGGGTTAGTGGCTGCAGCTGCCATCTTTAAACGAGTTGTCTTCAAATGAATCCGCTGTAGACGTATATCCAATCAGCACATTACCATTGGAAAGCGATTGTTTTAAGCTTTTGATAATCATGCACAATCCAAGTTTAAAAACACCAAGAAGCCTAATATTTTAATGAATGATGTAAAGGTGATCATTGGTGCACAATCTAGTCTACAGAAAAATAAAACCAACAAACTAAAGGACGTCAGCAGGAGATGTGCCAGAAATAAGTTTCTATTCAGTTTATTTTGTTTAGAGCATCGTCTCAAGACAACACTCAAGTTGAGTCGACTTTTCGGTGCACTGAGCTCAGTTCATTATTCCAATTATTTTAAAGTTTTCTATAGAAAACTCAGCAGCTGCATCGAGTCACTGACTTGTTGAATCTGTCTTTACAGCAATCCTCATACTAAGCAAGCATGTAGTGACAGTGGAGAGGAAGTCTCCCTTTTAACAGGAAGAAACCTCCAGAGGATCCTGACTCAGTATAAGCACAAAGTAGTGTTTCTGTGGCTGCATACATCGTGATTTCTTAGCAGATATTCTATTTCTTTAAAAAAAATGTTATTGTCTTTTTTTGAGTGAATCTATGAATAATTCAACAGGTGAACTAGTAGTAGCACATTCTGTGTTAAAGAAGGTAAAATTTTAACGGGAGAGGGAGAATGTTAAGTGGTTAGCAGCAGTGTGTCAGCTGCTGGCCCCCACCATGAGGCTATCACAGCTCAGCAGAACGCCAGCCCAGGTGTAGCTTCTCTGTAGAAAAACACTCAGAGAAACTATTAAGTTAACACCTGAAATAACAGCAAACATGCAGTTATCTACCAAACCTGGAGTTGTGAAGCTACAGTATGAGACAGCATGTTTGCCCCAGAGCCTGTATGAAGCACAAGGGGGGAGATGTTATGGTTTGGGCACACATTTTAGCCTCATTCACTGCAAAACATGATCATTTTACAAGGATTCTGCAATCTTTTAAAGGGGACATATGACCTTTGTTTTTATTGAGAGCAAGATATCCCCAAATCAAGTTTTTGCAGATGAGCTGTCTAAACAAGTTAGAGGTGGTTTTACTTCTGCCTTCCACATTTATGATGTCACAAACAGGGACTGTTTGACACAGCTTGTTTTAGGCAAATCATTCTAAAACCAAACACTGACAAAAAATACGCTGGCTGGGCTTTTTTCAAGTTTAGTGTTTAAAGACGCAGTAGAAACCCACGCAACAGCACAAAAGATTCAAAAAGAGGGGTTTGCATAATATGTTCCCTGAAAACAAGTAGCTGAAATGACAGAAAAGTCATTGCTAACAGGGCCTCTAATGACTTTCAGCCTACGAAAAGTTCCTCAAATGATCTAAACTTAGAATAGAATAGATAGAATAGAATGCCTTTATCGTCACTATACAGGTGTAAAGTGAGATACAGAGCATCTCCTACTCAGTGTAACACAAACATACTTGAGGGGGGGGGGGGCACTTCTGCAGCGCTATGTACATATGGACAGTAATGTTATGTATATACAATTATTGCACATGGAATTTGGTATCAATAGATAGTGGTGGTCAATGGAGGAAGTGGGAAGTGGGGGGCTGTGTTATCGGTGCATGTGTGAGCTCAGGGTGGTTATTGCTTTGGGGAAGAAAATGTTTTTGAGTCTGTGGGTTTTTGTATTGATGCACCTGTAGCGCTTCCCTGAAGCCAGGGTGGGAGCTGTCCTTGATGACGTTTGCTGCCCTACTGAGGCAGCGGGAGGAATAAATGTCCATCATGGAGGGGAGAGGACAGCCGATGATCTTCTGTGCTGTCTTTACCACACTCTGAAGCCTCACTCTATCCGCCTTGGTGCAGCTGCCGTACCATACCGTGATGCAGTAGGTTAGCAGGCTCTCAATGGACGAGCGGTAGAAGGTCAGCAGCAGGTCGGTGTTCAGTTTGTACTTCCTGAGGACTCTCAGGAAGTGCAGCCGCTGTTGGGCCTTCTTGATGACCGCTAAACTTCATGTTTTCTCTACTTTTAGTGGCAAGTATAGGTTAGCATCACAAATTTATGCTGTCAATATCCAATCTCCTCAGTCAGGCTAAACATTTGGTGAATAATTTATGAGCAGAAGTGCTGCTCCTGCATTCCAGCAGGCTGCCAGAGCTGCTAAATGACGAGGGACACGACCTGCTGTAGAGCTGATGATTTTAGCTGAAACAATCAAAACAAAACAAACTTCACAGGCTGCTGCTTCAAAGTGGCTCTGTGATGAGAAACGTAAATGTAAAGGCTCATCATGGATGTGAACTTCAGTGAGAGAGAGAGCTTGCTCCACATCCTTCCTCGGATGGGAGCTCTGCAGAGCTGGAATCTGTTTCCTGACCCTCGGATGGGCCGGATGGAGCGCTGGCACTTCAAGGACGAATCCTTGAGTTTTTGTTGTCTCTCAGGACTCAGCAGGACTAATTAACTCCAGACTTTTCATCTGACACAGCAGCGACGATCTTGTCGTCCTTCATCGGACCTATTGTTATGAGTGTGAGCAACGTCTTATTTAATACGAGTTTTCGTGCTTTTGGAACATTATCAGTTTTATTCCTGCAGAGAGACGTGGTAAATCCCAGGCCAGAGGTTTGCTCGTGACTATCAGCACCATTTAGAGTGTTTATGTTCCTCTGGCGCTCCAGGGCCAGCACCAGTTTTAATTACAACCATTCAATCAAAACATTGTGTTGTAGGGGCACAGAGGTGAGCTGCCTTTAGGGATCTGGAAGGAAACACAAGCTCACAATAACACAGAACTCCCACACTCTCCAGATTCCAACAATGACAGCATATTAACATCTACAAAAACATGTGCTGTGATTGATCTGACTGATGGATGCTATGCTGTTGGAAACGAATCTGGAGTCAGCTGTGGCTGGAGGGTTGTCTTAATGTGTTTCCTGGAGGAGATGCAGCTATTGATTCACAGAACACTCCTGAATCTGAGCGAGACTGATGGCTGCTGCACGTCTTGTCTCTGGAAGCTACTGCTATCTGGTCACAACCACCCAAACACAAGTCCAGAAGAGCTCTGTGCGGGTTTAGACACAGTGAGCTGAAGTAAGATACAGTAGAACTGACAGCCGCTGACGATGGGGTTCATTTTCATCCACACCCTGAGCTGATGAATGTGTGGAAAAGAAGGAGGTCGATGGTATCTGGGCGGGGCTGGGAGATCTCTGCTTCCATCACCCTCTGAAGAACCGCAGGCTCTAAATCAGGGGTGTCAAATATGCGGCCCGCGGGCCGGATCCGGCCTGGAAGCGGGTTAAATCCGGCCCGCGAGATGGTTGTGTAAACTTTATTTTCATACTTTACAACGTAGAGTGAAAATAAACTTATCTTTGTGAGCAAGTTACCTCTGTAATGAGTATAAATAAAACAAAGCTGCGCTCAAGGCTCACACAAGAACTTGAATCCCATCCTGAAGTCGGCCGCCACTCAGGATGTGACTTCTGATATTGATGTTCTGGTGAAAGCTAAAAGATGTAAAGTAAAATGAGTCAAATATAGTTTAAGTGCTGCAAGAAACTGATCTAGCCATGTGATCTGTAAGCTCTTTGAATCACTAAGGAATGTTTTTTTTTATTTGTTGATTTTTTTATTTTTTTCAAATGTTAAAGTACACTTCAGGTCTTGTACTTGTACTACACTGTCCTCAGGCTCCAGCCTTGTTTTATATTGATTGTATTAAAACAAAGAAAACAATCTGAAGTTGTTTTTAATTTACCGGTCCGGCCCACTTGGGACTAGATTTCCCTCAATGTGGCCCCTGAGCTAAAATTGAGTTTGACAACCCTGCTCTAAATGAATAAAATAAAAATAAAGTC